AAATGTTGGAGAGGTTGTGGAGAAAGGGGAACCCTCTTACACTGTTGGTGGGAATGCAAGTTGGTACAGCCACTTTGGAAAACAGTGTGGAGGTGCCTCAAAAATTTAAAAATAGAGCTACCCTATGACCCAGCAATTGCACTCCTGGGTACTTACCCCAAAGACACATGTAGTGAAAAGAAGGGCCATATGCACCCCAATGTTCATAGCAGCAATGTCCGCAATAGCCAAACAGTGGAAAGAGCCAAGATGCCCTTCAACAGATGAATGAATAAAGAAGATGTGGTCCATATATATAATGGAATATTACTCAGCCATCAGAAAGGATGAATACCCAACTTTCACATCAACATGGATGGGACTGGAGGAGATTATGCTAAGTGAAAGAAGTCAAGCACAGAAAGTCAATTATCATATGGTTTCACTTATTCGTGGAACATAAGGAATAACATGGAGGACATTAAGAGAAGGAAGGGAAAAATGGGCGGGGGGAATTGGAGGGAGAGATGAACCATGAGAGACTATGGACCTGAGAAACAAACAGGGTTTTAGGGTCGGGGGGGGACTGGTTAGCCCGGTGATGGGTATTAAGGAGGGCACATACTGCATGGAGCACTGGGTGTTATACGAAAACAATGGATCGTGGAACACTACATCAAAAACTAATGATGTATTGTATGGTGACTAACATAACAATAAAATTAAAAAAAAAAAACCAATAGTAATTATAATGATTGCACCTCAAAAGCAGATCTCTTAAATACAACTTTCTCACAGGATTTCTGAAAGGATTAAATGGGAAAATAAATGTGAAAGTACCAAGGAGAGGATATAGCATACATGGTATATGTTCATACTTTCTCCTTAGCCCATTTGTATTTACCTCCACCACAAGGGCTCTCTAACATCCTTAAGTCTAAAAATTACTACAGAAGCTCCCCACTGATACTTGCTTCTGGTCTGGCTCTCCTCTGACAATACATCAGCCAGAATGATCCATGTGAAAAGCAAATCCTTTCACATCACACATCATGTGATTCTCTTACTTAAATTTCAATAGCTCCCTACAGATTTCTGGATGAAGTTTAATCTCTTCAGTGAAGTACATAAGACCGTTCATGATCTGGCTCTTGCCCAGTCTCTGGCTTTATATCCTACACTCCTCACAGCTACTGTTTGCTCTACAAAGGAATCTGGACTTCTTGTCCTTCCTTGGGCACATCATACTGGTTTTTGTTTTTTTGTTTTTTTGCTTTAGAATATATTCTTACCTCTGCCTGGAAAGTCTCTTTCTTTCTCATACCTTTCCCTACATCCATAGTGTTTTACATACATTATTCTCACTTAATCTTTACAACAATTCTTAGAATTAGGTACTATTAGAATTTTAATTTACAGATAAGAAAACCAAGGAAGTTAAGTGATTTGCCTTAGATCACAGAGCTAGTAACTAGACAAGCTAGGTCTAGCTCCAAAGCCTATGTTCTTAATTTCCATGCCTTTCAAATTTGACTGTTTCCTTTATGATCAAATTATATGAGATACTGTATATACTTTTAGGTATTTTAGAGGTTTAAAATAAGTGATGAGAAGTAGAATAATTTTCTTCTAATATTTGAGGGGCTATCATCAAAAGAGATTAATATAAGAATTAGGACTAATGAGTAGAAGTTATAGAAAATCAGATTTCAGGTCAGTATAATGAATGCTCTAACAATTACAGATGTCCAATTGCATAGCCTGTTTTTTTTAAAGGACAGAGCTCCTCATAGCTATTCAAATAGAAATAAGATTATTATCACATATGAATCACTTTATAAAAGGAGGGAAATTAGCTAAGATAGTCCTTTTCATTCCAATACAACTATAAACCCAATAAAATATTTACTCTTCACTATTCACCTCTGATTTTCTTTCCCAGTAGTAAGGATAAATCTGTATTGTATCATCAATATTATTATTGCTGTACTCCCCTTACAATTTATTACATTAGGCCAGGGTTTCTCAACCACCACACTAACGTCTTGGGCTGGATAATCTTTCTTACATGTGTCAGGGGGAGGGAAGAATGTCTTGTGCATTGTAGGATGTTCAGCAACATCTCTGGACTCTACACTCCCTTCAGTTGTGACAACCAAAAATGTCTCCAGATATTGTCAAATTTGGGGGCCAGGAGTGCATTGGCAGAGGGACCAAAATCATCCCTGGTTGAGAACCACTGTATTAGGACAAATCATCTCATTTCTGATTCATAGAGTCCTCAAGGAAACCTAGTTTTCAGAGCTAAGCTGTGCCTCTACACCAAGAAATACATGACATTGTTGAGCCAATGACGGCCATTTATATGTGTATGTATGCGCACATAATGTGTTACTGTATCAAGTGCTGTGTCCCAGTTACTGGTAACCCTTAAATTAAGTAAAAGATGTTTCTTTCCCCAATGTTATAATTTGGGAAAAATCTTACATGAGTTACTAAAGGCAGCAGCTTATCCTACTTATTTCACTTTTTCTCACAACAAAGTTTGTTTTTGAATCAGAAATAATATGATTCAGTTTAGTAATAATTGATACTACATTAATAGTTATAGTAAGGTAGTTTTTACTTCTGTTACATCGTACAAAATTTTTAGTACAATGCAATCCAAATTGGATGGAGCTTAATCAATACCAAATAGTAAAAGTTATGGTCTACATAATAGACACTATTATACTTTTAGGTAAGAAAACCTACTCCAAATTCTTTTGGGGTTAATTAGGCACCTGGATCTAAAATATTAGGCACAAAACATTTTAAATGGGGGCAGAAGAATCATTATGTATGAAATAAAGCCGTAACTTACCAATCTGGGCCATAATCTGACAAAGAGCAATCTGTTTTAAATACGTGGATTTCCCACTCATATTAGGTCCAGTTATGATCAAAAAATTACTTCCTTCTGTAATATAGGTATTGTTGGCAATAGGTTTTTCCACAGATATTTTTTCAAGAATGGGATGCCATCCCTGTTTGATTGCTAAAGTATCAGTAAATTCTGGCCGAACTAAAAAAAAGAAAGAAAGAAAGGTTTTGTAAGATTAATATATTTATGTTTAATGGTCTGTGTGGTATATATGTGTGATTTTACTAGGGTCAATTTGGGACAAAGTATTAAGGTATTATTTTATCTTAAATCCCTACCAAAATCCCTCTAGATTGTAACTGATGCATTCTAATCACCATCACAACTTTTATTCACTTCCAGGGAACCCTAGGATTTAATTCTTTGTCATTGTCCTGAGCTCCAAAACAGTTTGTAACATTTTCAGATTTATACAGATTAAAAAGAGTCAACTAGCCATTGATAATACTTTTTTTTTTTTTGAGATAAAGAAAAAGAGTGTGAGGTGGGGGGAGGGGGAGAGGGAGAGAAAGAGAATCTCAAGCAGACTCCCCACTGACTGTGGAGCCCAACATGGAGCTCAATCTCATGACCCTAAGATTATGGTCTGAGCCAAAATCAAGAGTCAGACGCTTAACAACTGAGCCACCCAGGCACCCCGATAATACTTTTAAAATAACAATTAATTACCAGTACTACAAAATTGTACATCTACTTAATTCCCACCTTAAGCTTTATTTTAAATTTGGCATACTTAGCTTTTCAAGTGACATATGGATATAAAGTAGAACCAAATACAATTTTATGTCCAGAAACTTACAGAAATTTTGTCTAAAAAGAATACCCAGATGATAGACAAAACAGACACAAAATATATTGTTAATTTATAGAAACAAATAATGATCAGGTCTCTATGAATACCTTCCAAGGTAAAGGGAGGAAGACAGGGCATGGGACAAGTAAACACTAAACTCCTACATGCCTCCAGAGTAAAGGCATTCAAAAGCATTCATTATAAAAGAGAGGTTGGTTAGAAAATAATTTTTAAACTACTTTCAAAGTATTTTTAACACCAAAAGTCATTATTTATAGGTTTGGAGTTTCAGGATGATCTCTCTCAAATTAAAATGGAGCAACATCAAATATCTTAATAGCTAAGAAAACTATTAAAATAGTTGATCCCTAAGGTATGGTTTTGACCCCAGAGGAGATCTAAAAGATTGAAAACTTTTGGCTTATAAAATACCAATTGAAAGAGTTAACATTTCCATAAGAAATATAAAAATAAGAAAAAAAATCTTCGTAAAATACTTATTTCCCATCAAAAAAATAAATTTACATAGTATTTGGGAAATTCTAGTGATTTTAACTAGAAATTTCAATGTTATTAATGATATTAAGTCCACAATTATTCAAACTTAATTATCACATACTAGTTCCATAAATTTGTGTATGAGAGTGTGGTTATTACTGATAAGTTAGATAAGAAATTTCAAGGGGTTAATCTGAAGTATTCACTTCACTTAATATTAGAAAATTACTTAATATTTATATTCAAGACCTTGGGTTACAAAAGACTTGTGATACAAAAATATATGATATAATCCCTGATTTTGAAGTGTTTATACCTAAGGAGCTAGTTTAGAAAATGTTCACTTTGGAGATTTCATTTCTCTCATCTGCTTCTGTCACACTGTTTCGAATGAGTCTTCAGATTTGAACTCTATCAATTTGGATCATTGTCTTTTCCACCAAGGAGGAAGCTTTTCAGTCTTTCCTATTTGGGGAACCTTTAAAGTTTCTTGCAGTATTTTCTTTCTCATTTGTCAATTTCTCAGTAAACAATTTTCTGACTTTTAAAACAAATTTTAAGAGTAATTTTACTTTTTCTATTTTAAGTCTTAGTCTAAGACCATAGGCAAGAGACCATATTTCAGGTAAAAAAATATAAAACATTCATAATTCAAGTAAACACATAATTGTTATATAAAATTGCTTGGATGGAAGACAAATTTCAGTATGCAACATATTTATTCCAAAGAAAGTAACTTACCATAGTCAGAAAGAGTGCAGGCATGAGCAAATGACAGGAGCATATCCAGCATTGAGACAGTGTCAGATAGTTTATATAAGCAATGAATATGTTCATAAATCTCACTAAGCAGTTTGCACACTATCCTGAAAGTACATGTTTGGAAGTCAGGTAATGCTTTTAAAGAGGGACATACAATATAATTGTAAAATAATATCAAATTCATTGCCTAAGGTAAAATAACATTCACAGTTCAGTTGTATTCTACAGGTAAAGTCTATTGTTCTTTTGCCTCATTTTAGAGATTAGGAAATTGAAGTTCTTTGAGTTCAAGGAACTTGTAGCAAGAACGCATCTTCTGGTATGTTAACACCATGCTTTTGAAATGATTGTTGTTATTAAATACTAATAAAATTAATTTTCATTAATAAAATTATTTTTATAGGTCAAACAAGACCTCACTATGCTTCAATAGATCCCATCTGCTAATAATTTTGTGTTTTTTGCAAATGTTAAATTCAACACAAAAGTTAGTATGTTCTTTCTTTCACACACACACCTTAACAACATAATTATTGAAGCTTTTTACATAGCAGAGGTATTACACTGTGACATAATAAAAAAGGTTCTCCTTGGAGCACCTGGCTGGCTCAGTTGGTAGAACATGTGACTCTTGGTCTCTGGGTTGTGAGTTCATGCCCCACATTGGGTATAGAGATTACTTAAAAATAAAATCTTGGGCGCCTGGGTGGCTCAGTCGGTTAAGCGACTGCCTTCGGCTCAGGTCATGATCC